GCCCAAGGTATGGAATCAGGAGATGGGGCCTTGGGGAGGTGGTTAGGTCTTGAGGATGGAGCCCTCACGAATGAGAATAGTGCCCTTATAAAAGAGACCAACGCTGAGCTCCTTATCCCCACCACTACGTGAGGACAGAGGGAGAAGCCGTCCATTTGTGACCTGGAAGAGGGCTTTCACCAGAGCTCGACCACGCTGGCACCCTGATCTCGGCCTTCCAGCCTCCAGAATTGTAAGAAATAAATTTCTGTTGTTTATAAACTACCCTGTCTGTGGTATTTTGATCTGGCAGCCCGAATGGACTAAGACAGTTATGGAACATCTTAATTAAGATCCCTATCTCAAAAGTCCGAAGTTAAAGTACAATAAATGTTTGTGTCCACTGGAAAAGATGTCATAATTAGTCAGCTGTTTAGGTTAACTCTTTAGCGGAGTACAGGACAAAGGAATAAACTGTGCTCAGAGTCCTCCTTGCCTCCCACTCTCAGATGGACAAGAAGTGGGCCAGTCAGTCAGTCATCTACTGGTCTCTCCTGAGAGGAGAGACAATCAGTCAAGCGACCTCAACCAGCAACAGCAGTGGCCCAGAATTTCCTGAAGCTCACTGGTACTCCCTGATGGATGCAAACATCCCCTCCACCTCTGGGACCACGGGGAGCTACTCAGGTCTACTCAGCTATCTTCCCCACGCCCTCAACCCATGTTCTCAACCGGGCCTGGGAGAGAAGCTGCAAGGCAGCAGTTACTCCTTCTCCACACATCGCAGCCACCCATGGAGAGAGGGCTTTGCTCTCCCCCTAAGCAGGAAGTACTGGAAAGAGAGGCTCTGCTTCCTCTCTGCAAACCCCTTACCTGCTCTCACCACAGGAAGAGAGGCTGATCTCACTGCTCGGGGCACAACATTTGGTGGGACGGATCTTCTCATGGAAAGTTTATTAACCACTAAGCGTGTCCCCTGGCTCCTTTACTTTCTGAGATCAGCAGGACCTCATGCATAAAAGGACAGCTGGGAATGGTCTCCCTGCAGGCAGAGAGGAGGGCCGTTCTCTCCCTCATTTCTAGCTCCACTCCCGTGCCTGCGCGGGGTGAGGTTGCGCATGCCCTTTGGTGTTTTAATTCACACTGGATGGAGTAGAAAGCCCCACTTTGGCCACAGGCCCATGTTAGTAGCCAACACAGTTTACCAGGAGCCTTGAATCACAGGGATGGTAGCATGCTTTTCCAGATTAATAAAGAGGAAGCTGGATTTCTACTTGACTAGACGTCTGCTGTGTGTGCCCCACTCGCCAGATCCCCAGAGGGAAGCAGAGTCAATGGTCTCCTGGACCCCAAGGAGACAAGTAGCCAAGGGCTCTGAGCCTGGGTGTTGTGCAGCTGGGTCTCAAGTTACGAGGAGAAGAACCAACAACAGTGTTCTAGGTGGGATGAGAGTCTCAAATACTCCCTTGTCAATGGTAGCCTTGTGACCTTTCCACTTCTAGCAGCCTCTGAGGCGGTCCCCATGTTATGAAGAGCAAACCAAGTCTTACACAGAATGCCCTTCCGGCTCAGAGCTCGTTCGCATCATCGCTCCTGTGAGGACTTACTGCCTCCCCACGGACGCCATTTTTGTCTTTGAAGCGATGATAGACCAGATGCACAAGGAGGAGGAGAATGCATGGAATGTCTTCCATCAGCACACTACAAATGAATGACAATGTACATTCCCAGGGAGCTTTACTATCGTTCACTCATTCACTCAATATGACTGAGTACTCTAGCCAGTTAATTTTCTGGCTACCAGTTAATTTGGCTACCATTGTCAAAATTTTTTTTTAATTTTTCTAATAAAAGACCTATCCCCCATTCTCTCTGGCAATGTGCTATACCCTCATTCTTCACCACACCCACTCACACACACACACACACCCCCAAAACACAGTATGCAGACTTTGCTTGCAGTTCAAAGCACCAGACAATTTGAGGGGCTTTAGGGGTACAAACTGATTATAGTTGAAAACTGTAACAAGTGCATTTTTAATTGATCAGATTTGCACAGGACATCATCATGTTTAGAAACTAAGCAGTTCCTTCCACCCATCTTTCATCACTGCCTTTTAGCCCTCGGGCTCCTTTTAAGGGTACAACCTATCTGTTTGGTCCATCTTTCAAGCTTGGGTACCCCTCTGGTCCCTGTAAGAGTGAGAAAGTTTCCTATTTGGACCCAGGTATCTGGTCTACCTCCTTGACATCTCAACCAGGGTGGCCTTGGTTTTTCCTACCTTAAGAAATCTAGTTTCTCTCGTTCACTCTGCTTGCACACAGTATGTACTCAATTTAAATGTGTGGTCTGTAGACTATCCTTTGAAAATTTATTGAGATTTGCTTTATGGATAACATTATAAATTTTCATAAATGCTACACATGTGCCTTAAAAGAATTTCTATTCTCTAGTTGTTGGGTACAGTGTTATATACATGCTCATTAGATCAGGTTTGTAAATTTTGTTATTCAAATATTACATATATTTATAGATTCATAATCTGTTTAACAAATCAGTAATTAGCAGTATAAAAGTCTTCCACTGAGATGATGAATTTGTGGATTTCTTCTTTTAGCTCCATCAATTCTTGCTTCTATATTTTGAGGCTCTGTAATTGGAGTATAAAAGTTTAAAATTATAATTTCCTCCTGGCAATTTAATTTGGTAGGCAAATAGAAGCCAAGGAAGTTGATTGAGCCCTGAAGAACCACTCACCCCTCTATAGTCTGATTTAATAAGGACATTCTTTCATTTGCATTTCCATTCATTTGGTTTTCATTTGTTTTATTGAAATAGTAGCACATCCTGGGATGGGAATATTTCCTCTCCAGGTCATGTTTTAAGATCTGACCCTTCTCGACCTCAAGGAGAGAGAACCAAGTGGTTATGGTTGCTAATAATTTAGACTCTGACTTTGAAAGCTGTCAAGTTTGACTGTAAAATAAAAGATGCCAGGTCTCGCTGTGGTGGGATGATAAGAGGTTGTAGGAAATGGGAGGACAAATCAGTTTTAGTTTTGTTTGTTTGGATTTGGGCCCAAAAGGAGATCAGTACATGCTAATTCAATCAGGAGCCTGTCACCTCAGAGCTCCAGATACCCAGGGTATCCCAATCCTGGGGAGCTATCAAGCCAAGAGTTAAAAATGCAACAGGGGCTCAAGGAAAAGTTCAAGGAAATGATGGATTCAAAAGAACAAGTGTCAGGTTCTACAATGGCTATTAATGACGATAATTAGGACCTCAGCCACCTGGAAAGTAGATTGCACATGTAGCCAGATTTGACTTTTCAGAGGGATAACTCTGGCAACAGCCTGAAAGACAGAGTGGGAGAGACCCCAGAGGTGGGACTAGCAGGTTGTCAAAACATCTGTCTGTCCGGAGGTGGCGGGAGACTAAATTCAGAGAGTGACCATTAGAACGAACCATTTTAAGGCAAAATTTCTAGGGTCTGGCAATGAAAAAATCAGACTAGGAAGTGAGAGAAAGGGAAGCATGAAGACGCTTCTGAGATTTCTAACTGAGGAGACCAGGTCAGTAGGCATTATTAACCAGCCCAGCACGTGTCAAGGTTTCCCTTTACTTCTTTTTCTTCTCCTTGTCCGTATACACCATGTCCCCCTAGGCTCTGGCAGGTTTCAGAGATATTGGACCTAATAGAATCTTGCTGGGAAGAAGGGAACAAATCACTTGCCTTCTCAGATACTTATAATTCCTAGTCCGTGAATAAATTGCTTGCAGTAGTTGAGAAGGAGATGCAAGAAAAGGTGTCTTGGGACTGAACGTAGTAATTCACTACCAACTGACGACCCCATTGTTTAGCTCCATCACCCATTAGCTCAGCAGTCTTCACAACATCTCTCACAGGTCTCCACTTCCCCAAGTGGAAGATAATGCAGACTGGCTCATCCAAACCCATTGCGCCCATGCATCGCCATTCCTCCAGCCTTGTAGCAGATCTTACATCATCCCAGGGGCCGAAAGGCCAAAGACCCTATGTCATTTCTCAGATTCCCTTAAAGCTCAAGTTCCTGCCAAGGCCTAGCTCCCACCAAGCAGACCTAACCACCAAAGATTCAGAAGGCGGAGAGGAGCCTCTCAGCATCCAGGCCATCCTGCCACCTCTGCTATTTCCAGCAGCCTCACTGCAGTGACAGCACTTGGCTTCTTGTGTTTTCTGTAGCAGTTTTTGCAGAGGATATGGGTTGAATTGAGTCCTGGAAAAACACTGAAATCCTAATCCCCAGGACCTCTGAACGTGACCTTATTTGGAAGTAGGGTCTTTGCAGATAATCAAGTTAAGGTGAGGTCATTAGGCTGGGGCCAATACAATATAAATTAGTGTCCTTATAAGAAGGAAAATTGGGGCACAGAGACAGACGTGCATGGGGGGAAGACCATGAGAACATGAAAGTGGAGATCAGCGTCATCCTCTACAAGCCCAGGACAGTCAAAGATGGCCCGCAAATCACCAGAAGTCAGGAGAGAGGCCTGGGATGGATTCTCCCTCACAGCCTTCAGAAGGAACCAACCCTGTTGACACCTTGCTCTCGGACTTCCAGCCTCCAGAATTGCAAGACAATAAATTTCTGTTGTTTAAGCTACCCAGTTTGTGGCACTTTATTACACCAGCCCTGGGAAAATAGTACAGTGTTGAGAGGCCAGGAATGGGGAGAGGGTGACATCCTCTCTGATGACGCAATTACAAGCAGAATGGAGTGTTCCTAGAGCCTCCAGTTATAGGTTCAGTGTTTGTATTTGCTAGCTTCCTTCTTATCTTAAAGGCAGCGGCTGGGGCCAGCCCGGTGGCGCAATGGTTAAGTTCGCACGTTCTGCTTCTTGGCAGCTCAGGGGGTTTGGATCCTGGGTGTGGATACAGCATTGCTTGGCAAAAGCCATGCTGTGGTAGGTGTCCCACATATAAAGTAGAGGAATATGGGCATGGATGTTAGCTCAGGGCCAGTCTTCCTCAGCAAAAAATGAGGAGGATTGGCAGTAGTTAGCTCAGGGATAATCTTCCTCAAAAAAAAAAAGAAAAGGCAGCGGCTCCCTAGGTAGGCCATTCCGTGACAGTTCCTGAAAATTTGGCTTAGAACCTGCTCCTGCCCTTCCCATTCCCTAAATTAAGTCTCTTTCTCTTAAACAAGGTCCAGCGGATTCTGTTATCTACAACATGTGTCGTATGTCCTGAGTAAAGGACACAGTGATATTCCAAAACACATCAATGATTCCAGCCCATAAAAAACAAACAAAAGTTCCAATTTTTTCTTTGAGTAATATAGTATGTGGACCCGTAACAAGAATGAATAAACCAAAACAGAGTGAAATTAGGTAGTGCGTCTAATTAAAATTAGGTCACAAATCTCCAAAAAAAAGTCTGTTCTCTTTAGATATTTCTGTATTTGCAGGCTTATACCAGTGGTAAGCTGGTTGTTTTTGCCTAACTAGGTGAAATGAGAAGAAGTAGACAGACAGAGGGTGGGTGGGTAGATAAGGATAGAATTTGTCAATATGGACATAAACACTTTAAGTGTTGTTGGTCAAATAGAATATTTGGCAGTCATGGTTTTGGAAAGCTCCGTTCACGATTTTATAACATAAAACTTCGGAGAGAAATCAGTCACACAAACACAGGCCCAAGTTCCACACAATTTGTAGTCAACTCTTTGTAAACCACGTGAATGATGTGCAAGGCTAAAACTCACAGCAATATTGTTAATAATCACCATAGTTCAGAGCTGGTTTAAAAAAGCCACAATGCTTACTGAGTATAGGCCTTCTCTACTCCAAAAGGATAAACAGAGTCTCAGAGAGGTGAAGAAACTTCCTCAAAGTCAAGTGAAGAGTGGCTTGATTAGCTGAAAAACAAACAACTAACCCTTATGTAAGAAATCATCCTTTTCCTCAGTGTCCCCAGAAAACATGTTTAAAGAGCCAGTTGTGTATTAAACGCCCATAGATCCGCACAGAGAAATGGGGCAAAGTCCTGCTTCTCTAACGCTGGGAGCACCGACTCCGATGGGCATCGCAGAGAGAGCTCAGCTGAGCCGTCCAGGCCTGGCCCAAAGACTGCCTGCGTCGTGAGCCTCTCCAGGCCCCAGGACACATCTGCCTCTGAACCTCAGAGCACGTCAGTGGTTTCTCAGTTAGGATACTTGCCGCTTATTTGTGGAGGAAACTGTGAGGTAACACTTAGTGACCACCAACACTGTGCCAGGTGCTTTCCTCAAAACAATCCAGTGGGTGGGAACTATTATCATCCACATTTTATGGATGCGAGTAGCAAATAACTCTGCCGCTGGGGAGCAGGGGTCATGCCGAGGCGGTCCAGAGCCCACGCTGGAAGCCCACCTACAGCCCCTTAGCTGTGTGAAGGCTTCAGTGGCACACGCCCAACCTTCTCTCCTACCCTGCAGGCTTCCTGAGAACAGAGTTCATGCTGATTCATGTCTATATCCTACAGGACATTTCCAAGAGTGCCTGGGCAGACTTAGAAATCAAATCATTAACTAAATTAATGAACAAACCCATACGCGAAGGAGGCATTAGGACATCTGGGACCAGACGGCAAGAACACCTCCCTGGTGAACACACACAGGTGGTGAGGGGGTTGGAGAAATGCCATCCTCTTTCTTGGGTCACTTCATTGCCCTGTAGGCCACCCCGTGAAGGCTGCTGAGCTAAGACTCGCTACAAGGGATGCACTGACGGGAACAGAGCCAGGGCAGGAAGGGAGCGAGCTCTTCAGGCAACTCTGCAGTGGAAATATGACTTCGCCACTCTCTTTCTTTCTTTTCTGTTGTCTTTCTTCCCAAGATGGGTGGCCTCCATTTGAAGAGTTCAGGGCTCCACTTGACGTGTTTGGAGAGGTCACCACTGGGCCTCCGGGCAGAGAACAGCCTGACCAAAGCAGCAGGACAATTATGTTAAGGATCTCCAGGCGCACGCCATAAAACTCATATTCACTCGGACGTATGATTCAGCCGCTCGCAGGTCCCTGCAGTTTAGATGCGTACATTTGATTTGCCTTCCCTCACAGCCGTCATAAAACCGCCCTAGTGCATGACTCACTTTCCTTCATTTACTCACATCGCCGCGATGATAATTAGCCCTGGCGAGCAGTTCTCCTCGCTAGACTGACTCAGGTTCGTTAAAGGCAACAGGCTCCTGTAACAGGGGGTAGAGGATGCAGACGTAAAATGCAGCTTGGCTCACGGGTTCCAGTATTGAGAACGAACACACTCGTATTTATTTGAGCTCCCAGTTGGGAGGTCTCCCGGTCAAAAGCAGGGTTCTGGAGTCCCGGTCCTCGATGTCGGTCAGTCCCTCTCAAGGTAGCAGCTGTTCAGTAACTGGTAGCTGGGACAGAAAGGCAAGAAAAAGAATGGAAGTGTTTTCTTGCTATTATTATATTTTATAGTAAAATAGTCTATAGGATTACCTATTTGGCTTCAGATCGCACGTCTTATTCCTCAAAAAGTTAAACACAGAACTACCTGTGAGCCAGCAATTTCCCCCCCAGGTACATATCCAAGAGAACTGAAAACAGGCATTGAGACAAATGCATGGCCGTGCGTGTACACGGCAGCACCATTCACAGTAGCCAAGGTGAGAAAGCCCGATGTCAGTCAGCAGATAAATGGAGAGACACAAGGTGTGGCCTAGGCACAGAGTGGAACACTATTGAGCCCTAAAAAGAAATGGGTGCCGACACAGGCTCTAGCACGATGAACCTTGAAAACATCATGCCACGGGGAAAGAAGCCAGACATAAAAGGTCACATGTTGTGTGACTCCATTTATATGAAATATCCAGAATAGGTAAGTCCATAGAGACAGAAAGCATGTTAATGGCAGCCAGGGGCTGGGAGAAGGAGAAACGAGGAGTGACTGCTTGCTGGGTACAGGGTTTCCTTTGAAGGGGAGGAAAAGATTTTGGAACTACATAAAGGTGATGGTTGTACAACACTGTGAATGTACTAAATGCCACTGAATTGTTCACTTTATTTTTTTATTTTTATTTTTTTTTAAAGATTGGCACCTGAGCGAACAACTTTTGCCAATCTTTTTTTTCTTTTTTTCCTTCTTTTTCTCCCCAAAGCCCCTCCCTCCCGCCCACCCCAGGACACAGTTGTGCATTCTAGTTGTGAGTGCCTCTGGTTATGCTGTGTGGGACGCCGCCTCAGCATGGCCTGTTGAGCAGTGCTATGTCTGCGCCCAGGATCCTAACTAGTGGAATCCCGAGCCGCTGAAGCAGAGCATGCAAACTTAACCACTCAGTTACTTAAATATGAAATGGCAGACCCAGGACTCACATGTGGGCGTTCTTATTTCACACTAAGATCTCTTTACTGCACAGAAATCATTGTTCTCTAGACAGCTTGCATCAAGACAATGCAACTGCTGCAGATTTTTGGAAAAGATACAGGCCCTCTCAGTACCCTCCTAGATTTTTAAATCTTTGAAAGAAGCAGGTAGAAAACACCCAATGAAGAGACAGACTGGATGCCCTGGAACAAGCACGATGGTATATTTACATTAATAACAACTAGTATTTCACAATTTAGTATTTTGCAGAAATATTTACCCTGGATATTAACGTAGCAAAAATTGATCCCCCCTCCACCCTCGCTAATCTGATGACAAGGTTTTATCCGAGGCCTCCATGAGCACCCAGCCCATCCGGCCACACAGGGTCCGGGCTCAGAGTGTCATGGTTTGACGCTCTGCTGTTGCCCTCTTGAAATTCTCGATCACTTCTGGACAAGGGCCCTGCTTTTTCATTTTCCACCAGGCACCACAAATTATGTAGCTGGATTTGCCAACATCTAAGTAATTTGAATCCTTATCTGACCTACTTAGTACAGTTATCGTAAAGATCAGATGGGGGTTTTTTTTGCAGTTTACAAAGTGCCCTCACCTAAAAGACATTGCTCTTCAGTTCACTGGTTTGTGATTATTGATGTTCACAGACAGGTGGCTCCATGAGGGACTTATTACTCCTTTGGCAGGTGAGCAAACTGACCAGAGAGGGTGGGCGACCACAGAGGCCACGGGCCCTCCAGGGCAGGGTCCCCCAGACGTGGGGCCCCTGACGCTCTGCCCGCAGCTTCCACTGCCATCTTGTCCTCCTTCTGCAGTAACACCTCCCCGGAGAGGCCTCGCTCACACCCCAAACCGTGGAGGGACCCCCCTCACTCTCACTCCCACTGACTCTTTGTCACGTCAGCCGGTTTGTGCCCTTCATAGCATTGTCACAATCTGTGCTTCTTTCTTTTTCGTTTTTCCTTGTCTGTCCACCCCACCGGAACACACACTCTGCAAGGTCAGGAACTTCCCTGTCTCCCTCTGTGTGTCGCTCCAGCACCGTGCGCGGGGCGGAGAAGACGCGCACTAAGTCATTTCTTGAAAGAATGAAGAAATGAATGAAGAAGTTCAGGAAGGCTCTTTTCCTGCGGACTGGAGGACGCTGCCTCCTGCGCTGACTCGAACACCTGCAGTGTTCTTCTGTCACGTGGTCAACGGGTGGCTTTTACTGGAATGTCTTGGTTTACAAATGTTTAACTATTAGCTTACTTATCTACCTTCTCTGAAAATGAGATTCTAAACGATAATAAAAAACGGCTTTGGAATTTGCGTTAAGCCAACTGTGTACATGGTACAGAATGTTCTCAGAAGCCAGAGGACTCATGAATAATGAGGCAGCCACTTCCCGACTGCACAGCCTCGCCTGCCCCGAGTTCTCCCTTGCCCACAGATCTTTTGCTTCCTGACCTGAATCTGGATTCTCTCCTCTCCCGTGAGAGATAAGAGATGAAATCCAGGGGAATCACCTTTATCTTGAATCCTGGTGGCCACCCAGCTGCATAGTCAGAACACAGCTCTCTCACAGAAAGAGCGTAGTTAACGCCGTATGCCCCAAACTCTGCTGCCAGCTGAGCCCTGAGCAAGCACATTGTTCTGTTCACACTGGTGATGCTCCGTGGCTCCCCACGACAAGGCTGGACCAACAGGACCCGCAGGACGCCGGGTTTGTGTCGCAGCAGGTAGGAACCTGCAGTTACAGCACAAACAGAAGACGTCTTTGGCCTTTCCTGAGTTACACGAGTATTCATCGTGCTTAATAAAATCAGGATCTATTATGCTATTTACTCCATACACAGTAATTTTTTTGACTAACAAATTTTACACATAGCATCACTCAAATGAACTAGTGTCATTTACACGTGCGAGTGCACGCACACACACATAAATTATCTCACTACACGCTCAGTGTAAAAAATTCAAATAATATAAAAGTACATAAAATAAAAATATATAGGGATCTTTATCTACCCCATCCCATGCCCCTCTCCCAGAGGTACTTTTTTAACATTCTTAGCTGTAATATTTTTCTCTTACCATTTTAGAATATATTGTTCTGACACTCTTTGCGCATTTAAAAACATTTATTTCAAGACAATCATAAAAAGCATTTATAAAAACTTTTATTGATTTTAAAATGCATATGTTTTCACATATTAACTTTATGAACTGGACTGCCTTACATTTGATAGCTTCTTAGCTTCAGTGAGACACTAAACTTTTTAGTTTTTAATTAAATAGCTCACACTTCATGGATTGTTTTGAAACTTGCTTCTCCAGAGAACCTAAATAAGTTCTTTACGCAACGTTTACCATTCTCACTGCATTTCTATTCACATTACAGTTTGATATTTTTAAGCTGTAAACTACACGGTTACAGCTCTCACATTTTCAAATTGCTTCTAAATTTATTCCTTACTCCCCGTGCCCCCCACCACAGTGCCATAAGCGTAAAGGTCCACGTCCTTTAGAAAAGATTATGCAGATGAGATGAAGAATTTGGATAGTACTCTGGGGGACGCTCATAAGCTATAGCTAATATGCACCCAAAATACAAATATCTGTCCTAATGCTGAGGGCCACGGGTGCATCATTCGATGCACACTGGTTGATTTCTATTTTCTTTAAGGATGTATAATTGGGACTGTTCCACCACATATGCCCATATGAGGGCTGTGGGCTGTGCAATATCTCGCCGTTTTCCCCTGAGAGGAAATGGGGAAGTGGGGCGTTTGCTAACTCCACTCCCGCTTCTGTCCACAGCAAGTGTCCCAGCCCTCACATTGCCCTCCCTCCCTGTCCCTCCCCAGTTACGGAGCAGCCCTCAGTTCTCTGGAGCTGGGCCAGGGCTGAGCGGGACGCCGGTGAACTCAGGAAGACCGCAGCCACGTAGAGTAACAGTGTAGAGAGAGGGAGGACTCTGACCTGGACTCAGGTTGGCTGTGGTTCAGGAAACACCTCGGAGAAGCAGATGAACTCTGGGCCTCACAAGGGGGAGGTCCCAAAGGTTCAGGTGAGGCTGGGACTGCTTGACGCTTCCTCTGCGCAGCGAGCAGCCAAGTCATGCCACAGATGCCCCATAGACTCTGGGCCTGCTCTGCATCTCGAGAGACCTGTTGGGACTGAGAAGCCTAGACACAGGAGGGGAGTCAGGTGAGCCCTGAGTGTTGCCCAGAATATGGAAGTCAACAGCTGAAAAACGATCCCTGGGCATAAACAGCATCTCACCCGTTGAAGGCAGTAGGGTATTTACAATCGCCACAGTATACCATTCTAAGGGTCCAAAGCACAAGCGGAACTTGTATTTTGAACTGTGAGATTAGTCAGCATTCTTGCCATTTACCTTCACGGGAAGAAGGCACTGCAGTGATTTTTGACCCAATGGCCTGATCCACATGGCCAATCAGAACCCATGAATCTGCCACAAAAGTCCTAGCTGCCTTCTATCTCCAAAGAGACCCCAAGTTGGTCCGCCTTTCACCACGTCCCCTGCTACCCCAAGTCCAGCTGCCCTCGTCTCTCGCCTAGGTTGTTGCGATAGCCTCCGCTCGTTTTCCATCTCCTGCCGTTGTTCTGCACCCATCAACATCCATACATAAGCCAGAGGAATCTTTGAAAACATCAGCTTCTTATGCCCCCTCTACTCTATCCCATTTAAAAGCCTTCTGTGGTTTTCTACAGCACTTGGAATAAAACCAAACTCCCTGTCCTGGACGACAGGTCCCTAAGCATCTGCTTCTGCAGTGTCTTCTTCATGTCACTCTACCACTTACAAGTTATGTTCCAGGCACTTAACATGCCTAGCTCTTTCCTGTTGCAGAGCGCTGGCCGTTGCTTCTGCCTGGAAAACGTTCCCTTCCACTCTGAGCATGACCCGCCCTCTCACCTCTAAGTCTGCATCGCAGTCTCACCTGCTCGGGAGAGCTGTCCCTGTCCACCTGTGTGAAGCGCCTCTCCCATCACTCTGTCACATCATCCTATTTATTTCCTCTTCGAAGGGCGCTTATTACACTCTGCAATTATCTCACGTGTTTGCTTGTTAATTTTCTGTCTTCCTATATGAAAATTTAAACTTCTGAGAATGAGGAACATTGTTAGTTTCCACTTTGTGTCTCCTTTTTCTAATCTAGAACATTTCCTGAACAATTGGACCATAGACTGTTTTGAATGAATGAGTGGGCGTGATCTGAATATTTAAAATTAATTGGGAAGTGTTGCATAGCATTAAAACCCACCAGCCCAGGGCTGCCTGTGTCAGGATGTGGGAAAAGGCTGAGGGAAACCAGAAGAAAGCCGTTGTTGGCAGCACAGGCGCCTGTCAGCCTCACAAGCTGTAAGCCCTTCTCTGACCCGCCAGCTCACAGTCTCAGGGCAGAGTCTGAACATCCTTGGGCAGGAAGTTCCATGACTGATCCTGATGCATCTTTGTCTAACAGGATTGGAAAGAGCCTTTCCTTTGCCTCTGGAGTCGCTCTTGCTCCCAGTGGACAGCTATGGGGTGCTAACCTGTGGTTAGAGTCCACGCTCCATCTGCCCTGCCTAGCAGAGACAGCAGGCAGAGGGGGACCCAGCAGGGCTCTCAGAGTGATGCTCTGCCATCAGCTCCCAGGGAAGCGGATGAGCCAACTCAGATCACAGGGCTTCAGCTTTTGCTAGGGTGTATGTGAGCAGTGTGAGTGTGCATGTTCGCATTTTAAGTAGCTCTTCCCATAAAAGCAAAATATTGTAGAAAATTTGGAAAATGCAGGAAAAATATAAAGAAGAACTTAAAAACCACCCATTAATCTTCTGCCCAGAGATCATGATGTTAAAATTTTGGTACAAAAGAAAACTAACCATAGCCATTAATACCAATTAAGTGCTTATAATCTGCAAGGCATTTTCCCGCCTGCTTCACACATATTTACTCAGCTAACCCTCACAACAATCCAGTAAGGTATTTTCCTTACCCATCTTACAGGTGAGAAAACTGAGGCACAGGGTGGTTAGGAAATTTGCCCCAAATCACACAATCCCAGGATTTAATTGAGCAGTCTTCCTCCAGATTTTGCATTCTCAACTTCTATAGAGTAAAGCTCTCTGCAATTGTAGATATTTATATTTCTATAAATACACACACATCTTTATGTACGTAACAGGGCAAAAAATGGTTTAAATATTAACAAACTTTCCTCATCTTCTTATTAAGGAAGAGAGTTCATTTTTTGGTTAGCTATCAGATCTCTGAGAAAATAAACAAAATTTTTTGGATTCACTTGTTTCCGGTTAAGGTGTGACCATCTTCCTATTGCAAGAAGTTTTGTTTGCTCTCTTGTTAAACCATGAATGGGTGTGTGATTTTATCATGTTTTTCCTATGACCATGGTGATGACCATCTCTGCTCCCACGTCCCACACCCTTTAACCTGCTAACTAACTTGGCCTTAGGTTAATTAGCTTGGTGGGGATTTTTTTCTAAACCATGGTTAAATTTTGTTTGCCTGTATTTTGCCTCAGCATTTTCCCTCTATTTTTAAGAATTTCTTTAAATAATTTTCTTTTCTCCTGCTGTCCTTATCTGGTTTTGGTATCAAAGTTACAATAGACATTAAATGAGTTGACGAGTGCTCCATCTTTTCTTATTCTCTGAAGGTGTTTAAAAATGGAATTACCAATACCTTGAACAATCTGGGCCCAGGATTTTGCTCACAGAAAGATGTTAAATTTTTAATTCAATTCCTTTAATGGTTATGACACAAATCAGGTTTTATTTTTTGAGTCAGTTCTGATAATTTTTATTTTCCTAGGAGCACATCTATTTTTTATAAGTTTTTAAATTTATTGGCATAAACTTGTTTTCTCTCATTTATCTATTCTTGGAGTGCTACAAATAGTCTCTTTTTAAATTGCTCATATTGTTTGTGACTTCTCTGTTCTTTTTTCTCGATAAACCCTGACAGAAGTTGCCATTTTTATTACTCTTTTAAAAACAAAGTGATGTTCTCATTTATATCTTTGATTTCTACGTCATCAATTTCTGTCCTTCAATTTTCTTTGGGTTATTCAGTGAGCCTGTTTTTCCCTCTGATTTCTTACATTGGATGCTTAGCTCAATTTTTTAATTTCTTCTTCTTTAATATAAACATTTAAGTCTATAGATTTACCTCTCAGCAAAGTCTTAGCTACATCTCACAAGTTTTTACATATACATTTTGGTCATTATTTATTTCTAAGATTTTCCTGGTTTCTATTAATCTTTCTTTGACTGATTTGGAAGTATGTTCTGAACTTTCTGAATGTATAGAACATTTTCAGTGATCTATTTATTGCATTACAGTAAGAAAATGTGATAGATATGTTACTAGTCTTTCAAAAAGTCTTGAGAGCTTCTTTAAGGCCAAAAATACCCAACCAATTTCCAGAAATGCCCCATGTGTGTTTAAAAATGTAAGTTTTGTGCCAATAATTCCACAAAAGTCAGCTTCTGTACCTCCTGTAGATGTGTTTCTGGTCTTCAAGGAATACCTATATTTTCTTGCCAGTAAAAATTACATTAAAAGAACATTTTTTAAAAATAAATACTTTATCCAAAACTTTTACATATGCTGGACTAGGAAGGAATCTTGATTTTGAAAATGGAAAATTTCTGTAAATTTAAGATGAATGATTTTCTTTCACCTTCTAGCAATTTGATCTCAATTGTAGCATGAATTATATTGTGCTGTGATCAGATATTCAGGAGTCTGTTTCTCTCTTTTGATATTAAACACCTTGGGGAAAATGCCTATGTCATCCTCATTTTGTAAGCATTCACTTGCTGGAACATAGTATTTTGTTAATAGATTTATCTTAAATTGTTGAAATTCATTAATAGTAACCCTGCCATATGGGTAAGCTCACAGGCAGAGACCTTCTTATCCACCTTTGTGTCCCTGAACCCAATGTGGTGCCTGGCACAGTAAGGACTCAAGGGTTCCACTGATCAAACCCAAGAAAGTCATTTTTTCAAATCTGCAGAGAGGAAATGTTGTTACAATCACTAAAGAACACATGTGAGTCAGCCTTCGAAACATTTTATTCTGTGGTTTGTTCATGAACCCAAAAGGGAGTTTGAATTTGCTTCCTGAAAGAATTTTAATTGGGTTCAACTGCTGAATTCTTGCTTCCTCTCCAAGGACTTGTGCTACAGATGTATTAAATAATTCATTTCTGTGTTTCTAGAAGTAATACTTACAGAAATTGACACATAGAATCAAACTTCCGATGCTCAGTAGCAAGGTAGAATTTATAGATTATTTTCCATGAGTCAGACCAGGCACGTCGGAATCCAAGACAACTCAATTCCTGGTGCAGGGTTTCTGAGAACGTGTCCAGAGAGATGTCACCTGCAGTCAGAGTAGGCGTCTCTGCTCTCTTTTCTGCAGAAATGATTAGTTCCCCTGAACTAGCTCCCTGAAAAAGAAACTTGATTTCCCTTCAAGCCTCACTAAACCGAGTACAATTAAGTGCACACCCCACAGGACTGGAGTCCAAAACCCTGAATACTTCTTTCCATTTATTCAATATGAATTGAACCCTTACTCTGTATAGTGCTGTGTCCTCAGTCACCATTAATCCTTCATCTGTCATTTTATCTTGTTTGACTTTCCACTACTCTTCTTGCATCAATGATACAGGAATTCCAAAGAGTGAGAGTGATCTAAGTCAGAGCTAAGAATTCATAACGCAACAGCCAGGAGAAACATATGGGGGTATTTTCTGCAGCAAAATGTGTTACACTTTTAAATTTTTTTAAACAGTCTAAGGAGTCAGAGCCCGCAAACCCAGTAATTACAGCCACGCAATAGAGCATTCATGTCTATTATACCAGAGGATTCAATGCATGAAGGAGATGCTAGAGTCGAAGAACTTGCCTGGCACTCTCCAGTGTAGATGAACCAGAATTACATAGGGGAGAAGATTCAGTCAATGAGGATTTTTAAAGTGCCAGCACTCTACTTGGTTTCAGACACAGATTTAAAAACTAGGGTTTGCAAAGACTAAAAATTCTTGTTAGAGTAACTGAGATGAAGTGACTTATACCAAGAAGGAGAGAGACAGAGACAGAGACAGAGACAGAGAGAGACCCATAAGCTTGTATCTAATCAGAAAGCTACATTTATCTTATGTTCATAAAACTATGTAAAATGAACCTCCCCAAACTAGCAAGCTCAAAAATGGAGGAGGAGAACCAGTGTATTTTATTTTATGTTGGGTGAATGAATTTGGATTAGTTTTTTTCTCTGCAGCCACTCACATTATTAACGAATTAGTTTTCTAAGAATTTTTATTCCATTTAATGATAGAGACATATTCTTCTTCCTGTCCATGATTTCAGTGCCGAGATAGCTAAAAAGGACTTCGATTGTACCTTTTTGAATCGGCCTTGAGTTTTCTTTAAATTCTACTTTTAGGCTGACTGCACTTGATGAGAATAGCATGAAATATATGGGTTTGGTTTGCATATCCTAACAGAAATTGCAACTCTACCAATTCTGGGAGGAAAAATCCACCTTCCTCGATTTCCAAATGACTATGATGATGGGAAAGGCATTCCACCCTTCTCTTCCAAGCTCAATGCACTTTAGACTGGATTTCCAAATATATGCATTAAAAGGAAAAAAAATCGACCTGCTGAAATGCGTCTGCCACATCCTCTGGCCCCAGGTGACTGCAGGTGCCGTTCTCTTCTCTAACTGAGCACGTGTCCACTTCTCCTCCGTCGGCGTGGGTACGGGGTCGATCCGAGGGCTTGCTGGCCTATGATCATTGAAAGGGAAAACCTGCCTCTTGTTTTCCCATCACACTCCTTACCTTTTCCTACCCACTAATAACGTGCCCACAAAGACCATGGAAGGATCACTTCAGGATGAAAGAGGGTGGCCCCCCAGAAGGGCAGGCTTTGACTAGAGTGCTTCTTGACAGACTTCTGAACTCATCTGGGTAGATTTCTCACTTTATTCCAAAGGTTTTCACCGCCATAGGTTGTCCATAGAGACCAATTACACCACAGTGGCAATAATAATTATTTTCACACATTTAGAAAAGTCAAGGCACACATGATAGATTGAAAACACATCCTGGAGGAACTTGCCTCCCTTTTGGCTGCACCTGTTATTCTTTGTTATGCACAATGTTATTAGTGCACAGAGGCTATTGTCAAAACATTTACACCAGGCATTGAAACATGCTTAGAATGTAATAGGCTGCTAGTTACTGATCGCCTAATGACAGTTATTCTGGAGTGCTAAAATACACTGCTTCAATCGCTGGACTGCTCAGATAGAAGGCTGACGTATACTCTCTTAAATGAACACAGTAGTTGGGGCAAGAGCACAAAGACCTTAAAAGCATCAAGTCCTAACGGCTAGGCTCGCCGGCCTGACTCAGAAACACATACGTTTTCACAGCAGCCTTAAGTAAAATGTCTTAACTTGATGCTGGTTTTAAAGTATAACACATTTAATTTGATGAAACACATCTATTGTGTTGGTAATGTTTCTTTTTTATTACAAAAGTATAAGATGTCTATTGTTTTAAAATACATATATAATTACTCCAGTGGTCTGAAAGGGAAGATGTGTACCACCTGCCTCTTCATGTTCCACTCCCCTGGTAATTCACCCGTCCCTGCACATGTGCACGCCCCACACTGCCAGCCTGCAGGAGGCGTATGTGTGTCTGAGTCCCTGGACTAACATCCAGCGTATACATAGATTGACTTGTTTGTTCTTACCAAGACGGAATTATGATTTGCATATCATTCTGTAATTATTCCCATTTCCTACCACATGGACATTTTTCATTGAGTCAATACCTCAATCTTCCTCAATTTTTAAATATCATACAGCATCTGAATAAAGGAATGTATCATTGTTTAATTATTTTACATATTTAAATTGTTTCCAATTTTTCCTATTACAAACAACACTGTAATGAACCTATTCGTCTTTCATCACGAATATACTTAGCTTAGGGGTACCTGTATTCCTCCACCCTTCCGGTCTTAGACAGCAAATACAAATTTCTTCAGGATCCCAGAGCTGCTATATTGATGCAAAATGTTGGAAACAGCTTTTTGAGCAGCCACTGATGCAGTCATATTGCAAATTAAATCAGGTTGTCATCAGAAATCAGCCTACTCCGCGACTTCTATCTCCCCCACGTGAACGTGTGAAGTCTGGATTCTGTGTTAAGCTTGTCCCTCTCAACACTGTTATCATTTGTTTCCACTATATCATAAAATATTTTCTCCTGCAAGGGAAATCAAAACATAAGCTTTAAAAATCACACAAATGAAAGAATTGCTACATCCATTTCCTCATTAGAACTGTATTCAGGGCGTGGTGAAGATCAGGAAATTAAGAACCCACCTAGTTAAGGTGATTGAGCAGTGGGTTGGCTGGAAATTTCCAACAAGGTCATGAATTGAGTCTAACAATTTGAATCCTCGGTTTAGAGACAGTAGTCAGGAATCAAATACAATGTAACTTGCCCAGCTCCTTAGAGAGAAATTAACATTGTTGGTAAAGACAAGTAATATTAGAGTCACATCTCTTGTTTCTCCCACTATTTCTGGCTTTCAAGGGGAGAAGTAAATCCCTAAAAGTTAGGGGGTCGGGAGAAACTTGATAAAAATATTTATCATTTTGAATTCTACATCCCATGAGTTTATTCTAAAGCAAGTATCATATAACTTTTACAAGCCGAGAAACTGAGGCTGCAGTCTGGTGGGATGGATCAGTTGGCCAGTGAGGGTCGCTCATCTCACGCTCCCAGGTGTGTGCTCAGTACCCCGTCACTGCCGCTCGCCCTGCCGTGAACCGCATCGCCAGGATAAGGCATCCTTTCTCAGCCTTGAACAAATCCAGCACTGCCCCTGCAGTGCTCAGAATGCGCGGTTTCTCATGCAGACTGGCTTTTATCCCACTAAATGAGTGACATCCTACGCACCCTCCAGGACTTTCCTCTTACAGTCTCTTCTCCTGGAAAAATGACAGGTTCTTCTGAAATGATATCCAGCCACTACAACCTCCACCGCTCCTTCCCCTGAAGAGGAAACAACGGTTCAGAGAGTGAAGCCATACTTTTCTTTGTGCCTGACAATGTTTCGAGTCCCAAGGATGTTTGTAAAGGGTGGCTATTGTGACACTGTACTGGTTATGCCTGGGCATGGCAGGGAGCACTGGAGCTCTGGAAAGGAGTTGAGGTTTTGCTAATAACCAGACCATGGAAGCTCAGACGGCGGGCGCTGCCCTCAGGGCCAGAGATGCCTCTGCCGGCCTGCCCTCTGCCTGTCAGCACACTGCCTGCTGGGTGGGGCATTAGGAAGCCCAGGAACCACAGCACCCAGATAGACCCCAAGAGGGGGAGGAAGACGATTGGGAGGGGTTTCTTGCAAAGTCCCTCTTGTGGCCCCCCCTCACAGTCTCTTCCTTCCCATCCCGCCTCCCACTGCTGCCCCCCTCCCCACGCACCTGCATACACTTACTAGGTAGAGCAGTGAAATTAATTCACCACTCTACACACCTTAAGTGGATGTTTGCAGGAAATGTCCTTTCCCAACCCTCCCCATCTTGATCCAATCCAATCGATGCTTGCCTTTCACAGACTGAGGACAGTATTCTTCAGTCTGTGGGTCTGTGTATTTTAGGACCTGCTACAACATCCTGCAACACAAGTTTGTGGAGGGTAGGGAATGTGTTATACGTATATTTTTAGCGATTAACTCATGAACATTAAGAGCACTAAACAGCGAGAGGTAACATTTTGCCGTTACTTGCTCATTGGGTTACGTGTACTACAGGTGCTCAGGCCGCCGGCACCAGGTGAGGAGCTGACCGATCACTTAGAAAAGAAGAGTGTGCTGTCTTCTCTCCGACATCTCCCTCCTCTCCACCCGCAGCTCCTGCTTCCATTCAGACACTCGGTTTCTCTCATCCTGACAATTACAGCTGCTCCTGCCCCTCCCAACACTGTCCTTCTCAACACAATCCTGCTCCCAGAATGATTTCTCCAGAATAAAACCCTGGGCACGTGCCTACCTCCTGGAACCCCTTTACGGTGTCCCCACTGCATACTGGGGAAAACTGATGCTCTTTAGAGGCACTTAGCTCTCGACCACGTGGCCCTGACCCACCTCCAGCCTCATGACACCAAGTGCCTGGACCTCCCTACGACACCAGGCTCTTTTTCCCCGCCTCCACACTAGCTGCCACGGCTGCCCCACCATCACCACCTTGGCATCATCCCACACTCCCCACCAGCCACCTGAAGGACTCACCGATAATATTTCGTCTTTCCTGTCACACCCCAGGTGGAATGTGTGCCCTCTGTATCCGGTTCACACCTCTGTCATGTTGACTCTGCGTGTCCAGGGGAGGCTGGGGCCTGTTACTCCGCATGCCCTGTCCGCTGCCCCGTGCAGCACACAGCATGCACTGAACAAATGTGTGCTAGCCTGCTGATTGACTGAAGAGTGAGTCTGTGGTCCCAGCCAGTGCCAGGTGGAGCCTGGATCCAAGCGAGCATCTTCCTTTCCTGGCACTCTCCCAGCCAAGGCTGGCTCCTCTGTTACTGTTTCGGGTGCTCTCGGGGTTGCTGTGGTGGCGGCTGCGCTGCTGCTGCTGAGCTGGTGTTCATCTTACTACTCTGGCATAGTGCTCCTCAACCTCGGGTCCCTTAGCTCTATAAGATTCACCTGGATGGCTTTTACAAAATACAGATGTCCAGGCCCCTCCCCAGGCCGGTTAACCAGAACTCTTGGGCTAGAGCTCAGGCATCGGCATGCATGGTTTCAGGCTCCCCAGGAGATGCCAGCGCAGCCTGGATTGACTGCACTGTGTGCTTTCCGCAGTTTACTTAGCGACCGCAGGGGGCTACTCTTTGGGGTGGAGGGCCAGGAATCAAGATGGCCCACAACATTGCCCATGTGAGGAAATGAAATGCCCAGAACCCCACAGTGAGTTCTGAGCAGAGTCAAGAGAAAGTTTGGCTCAGATGTTTTCCCGCCTCTGGGCTCCACTCGAAGGGATGACCAGCACGATTTCCCGGGGGGCTTTGTTTCTTTATAGCTTACAGCACACGTCCCCAGTGCCCAGCCAAGGAGTGCAGATTTAAAGAGATGCCCACACTTCAAGTCACTCTTGACCCCTCCTGAAGATAGTGGCATGATTTCCCAGACAGCCTTCTTAAAAATACTTCAGCATGTGAGATGTGTTCATTGGTTTACCATGTAGCGTTTCATCCAGTCAATTCATAAACTAGATTTTTAGCAGTCCCCAACAGCTTTACCCTATCAACAACGGAAGATTTAGAGTGTTATCAACATTAATAAAATACCTTGGCTGAATTCCTCCTCTCCTCTTTCTACCCCTCCACTCCCACACCCACCTCGATCCACATCCTCCGCCTCTGTGATAATGTGCTGGGGTCATGGCCGCCTCAGGGCCCAGCTAGTGGGGGCGTCACCTAGCCTGCCTGGGAGATGAGCATCATCATGAATTTAGAGAGAAAGCAGATGCCCTCAGCCACCTCAGTAGAAGCCCGTGGCAACAACACTCTTCCAACAGCATTGTGAACACAAAAATTCTCAAAACAAAGAAATTCCCACTGTGGCTCTGATCTGAGTCTCCTGAACGCAGTCCTTTACTGAGAAATGAAACGAAATTGTTGTACCTAGCAGCTGGTCTCCTCCAAAGGTCTGAAATGCTGGATCCAAGTCAATATATAATAATTGAGCATCTATTACATACACTGGTAAGCATCCTGTGGGGGGGAGACACAAAGCCTGGCCCCCACTTTCCAAGGAATCGCTATTAAGTGAGCTAGAAAGACACGTCCAACAATATTTCAAATCCAACCAGAACATCAGCATAATATAGGTCTAACAAAGGATAAGAAAGAACAGGGAAGAATGATTAATTTTGACCGAAGAGAAATAGATTGATATATTACATATATTTATGTCTAAATACAGTTTCTGAGCAAATAAAGATCTTTTAAGATAAATTTTATTTCTCTTCTCTTTATATTCTTTTCCTTTCATCATCACATTGCAACCACAGATTTCTTTTGAAACAGCACCATTAAGAATTTGCCGTATGGGAGATGGTGGGAGGTTGGGGATCCAAGCAGTTTAAAAATAAATTTGAAAGGAACTTCAGCCTTGGGGCATCCACACACACCAGCACAGCAATCTGTTCAGAGAGGGGAGGTTTGCCACTGTTTTCTGTTGTCCTCAAAACCTGTCTTCCAAAGGTACAAATCAGGATGCGCATTATCCTGTACGTGAAATGAATTTAAAATAAATCTAGCTTAGAAATCACCTCTTGCAAGATTAGCTACCTACACGTATATTGCTTAAAAAGTATTGGAAATGGAAAACATTTTTTAGTTTTTTGCAGTGAGACAACATACTTAAATGTGCACATATAAACAATTCTCTTTTGAACAATATTTTGGCATAAACGAAATGACTGTCCTATAGCTGTGCCGCTTCAGCAGAGGCAGCTTCTCTGTTTTGCATATTTATGTGAGCAGCAGAGCACAGCATCAAAGTACAAGGTACGCAGGGCCCACCAGCATATTTGTCTCAATTCGCTGAAACTTTTAAAAATATGTAGTTATTTAGTAACCAAAGAAATATAAGGATCAGTTCTTCTATAACGTGACAAGGATACAAAAAGTGTAAGGCAGAGATAGGATGGATAGCTGCTTGGGACGTGGACTTCATGGGTAACCAAAATACTGAACACTTCATCCTATCTTAATCAGAAAACCTGAGCGAGCCCAGTGGCTCTCTCTCTGTGGCTGGACTGTATCCTCATAAACCTGCTTTGCACCCATGTTAACACTCAGAAGAGTATGAGCTTACATACATGTGTGTAATGTCAAGGACTTAACAAAAATTACTTGCCAAAGGCAAAGGATTGCCAGGGCTGACTGCTTAATTGGTAGAGAACACACTTTCTCCCTCCATCTCCTTCCTGTGGTTATCCTTCTTTTGTATTTCTCTGCTTTTTAGCATTTATATTGTATAGTCTACAGCATTGTCTAAAAAGAAATTTGAAAGCTAGCTATCGATTTTTCGCCTGGGCCGAGATAATTAAGAATTGCTTAGTCATTTTGCTCCCTCAATAAAACTATAAATGACTCTTAAAAGCTTTGGAAGACTGAATTAATTTTATTAATCATTACACCTTTTGTGCATTTGACATATTTCAAGACTAAATCATAAACGCCTAGTGGGCAGAGATCGCATCTTTTAGAAAACACTGCTGCCGCCTACAGCAAAGTCACACACTGAATGAAGCTAATACATCAGGGTTTCTGGGGTCTTGTCCTTGTAAAGTGTATTTTCCCATTGCACCTTCCAAGGAGAGGGTGACCGCAGCAGCCTCTGGCTCCAGCTCCAGCTCAGCTATGGGGATGACAAGACAACAGGAAAGCAAAGGCTGAGGCCTCAGAGGCTGGACCTGTTCTCAGCTCTTCATCTCACTTACTCAAAACAGACCTACATCCGAATTTGCAGCTTTTTTATTCACTGATTCACCCGAGATTTTAAAAAAAAAAAAAAAAAGGGAAGCAGGGGGACTAAAGTCTATTTGAAAAGTCTAGTTTTAAGGTCTGGAGAATGATTTTAGATGTTTTTGCTTCCCAGAGTGAATATGAATGAGGGGGGAGAAAAAAGAAGATATTAATTCATAGGTCTCTGGAAAGCTTTCAAAATATATCCGAAACAACCAAATCTTGGGGGGGAAAAAGCCGGCAAATTTAATAATTAGCCCGCCTTGTCAGAACCAGCATGTCTGCCTCACATTGATTCAAGATGCAGTAAAATCACACTCGCAGTGTGACTTAGGTTAACATCCCAGCAAATCGGGGCCTCTTATATAATCAGAATGAACAGTATATTAGCAAACACTTATAGAGCCTCAACAGTCATTTCAGTGTTTTAAATGTTTAAAACGGATACATTTACAGTTTCATGGGAACCTGGTAGAAACAGGCACGATTTGATGCTGAAGTTTTGAAAAGGAAAGTAATCTCTGATTATAATTTGTTCCCAGAGGCAAATGTGGCCTACTTTATGACATGGAGTCCACAAATGCTCTGTCATGAGAATCGGGGCCCCTTTCCACGCTCTTAGAAGATGCAGGAGTTCTGTCTGGTGTGTAAACAGCAACCCAGGCTCTCTGCCTAGACTCCACGCACGCCGGGCGACAGCTCTCATCTGGTCTAGTGGTTAGTGGTGGCCGTTTGGGGAGCGCATTTTGAGCGAACTCAGAGGGACCGCACCCATGACATGGAGACGCCCATCACCCATGAGGGGGGAGCGGCGAGGCTGTGGGGGAGCAGGCGCTCACTCCATGTAGTTGTCTTCCCTGGTTTGGGCTAACACCTAGTATCTTTCATACACAATTTCCAAGTCACATGACTTAAAAGAAATTCCCTACCTCCTTAAATACTCTAAGGATTCTCTTTCCTTTACTACTAGATACATGTGTGTACTGGATCAGGGTGGGAGGATAATTATGATTTAAAAAATCAGTATCCCATTTAGTTCTGAATATCCATAAATACTTTCTTAAATACAAATTAATTCTGAATATCTATGTACACTTTGTTGAAAAACTTTAAAAACTAAAATTAAAAAACTCTTTACACCAAAGATTATTCCTCCTATCTTTCATGAATTTTTTTTTCCTGGGCTATAATTGTATGTTTATAGGGATCAAAATGTCTCCATTCAGTGGAATATCAGGAAATCTTTAATATGGACTTACACAGAGATGGCTAACATGTGGTTCCCAATCTCAAGAAGCTCACCATCAAATGCACCGTAGAGACATATAGCCAATCATTGCATTATCATGTGTGCAATGACAACCAGGGGTACCAAACAGACCTGTAAGGGGAGGAGGGGATGGAGACAGAGCATCAAGGAAAGCTTCCTGGAGGAGAAGACATGTGAACTGATCTCCAAGGGATGAGTGCATATTATCCAAGAAGAGACCAAAAGCCTTTTCCAGCTTTCAAGTTCCCTGCGTTCTAGCTCTGTCTCTCTCCTCTCTCTTTGCTCCAGTGCCATGGGCATTCTTAGCTTCTTCGCTGTCCTTCATGCCTAGGGCCATCTGGAATGCTCTTCCCTGTGTCTGGAGTTTCCCTCTATGCCAGGCTGATTCTTCTCCATCCTTCAAACCTCAACTCACATGTTAGTTTCTCAAGGAAGCCTTCCTTAGGCCCCTTCCGTGTGCTCCTCAGCATCCT